CAACATGTTTTAAATGTCAATATACGTTTTGTCAGAGACGTGTGGGATAAAGAAAAAGGTTTTCATTGGGAAGTAGAAATAAACAAAGGGTTAGAAAATACAGAATGGTTAACTTGGGTTAAAATAATCACTCTTATTCCAACACAGTGGAAACCTTCTCCCAGTACGGAGATATCAAATCAGTTGATATTCCAATGACTGGTAAAAAGAGAAGAGACTATGCCTTTATTAAATTTTTGTCTGAAAACTCCCCAATCAAAGCACTAAAACGACAAAACCATGAGGTGAAAGGCCATGTCCTGCAGGTAGGCACTTGTATAGCTAAACGCAGAAAAAGTGTACCAGGCAAGATAGTAGTAGACCTTTTACCAGAAGACATTACTCTTGAAGCTGTGAGAAAATATTTTGAGCAATTTGGGCAGCTTAACTCAATTGATATGGTCTTKAAGCGTGATTTTACTTCAGCCAAGAATTTTGCTTTTCTGTGTTTTCAAAATCAAGAAGTWGCTGATGAAGTTTCAAGTAGCAAAAGAAATCATTATATTGATGGGCAGGAAGTTATTGTGAAGCCAATGCACTCTACGACCAAATCGAGACCAGCGTCGTCCAGGGAATGACGTATTTCATTTCAGGGTATTTCACTCCCTCAGTTTAATGGTGAAATTAAATGACGTTATTTGTCACAAATAACGTCTGCRAAGGGTGAGGCTAGKGAAAAGCTGAAAAAAGACTTATTTTGTGTTTCAATTCAAAGCCCCATCTTTTAAGGCTCAAATTAAACAGGGAATACGTCCAAACTCTCGTTGTTTTTTTCGACGATCACTTCCGCCTTTGYTTACATGGGAATAGCCCTTCTCGGAAACGAAACGAACCCATGCAAAATGCTAAACCACATTTTACAAGTATTATATAGTGAACCAAGATATCGTTTTCTGTGTTTTACTTCTTCATTTTATATTTGGATACCAAACAAGRTATTGTCAACATTGTCTGATCAGCCTTCAGCAAAATAAGTGGGTTTTTACCCTTTGGTTACCCCCCAAAGACGCAAAGTATTATGGGGATGTGAAAGTAGAGAATACCAAAACTAATAAGTCCTAACTAACAAATTTACTTTTAAAARTATCGTGTTCTCCTCATGATTCAATTGCAGAGACGTCCAAGGCAAGGATTGACAACACTCCAGCGAGCATTATTCACTATGTTTTTCTTCAACTGGAACATTATG